AAAACACAGGCGCGCATGCGCCAGCTTCGCGGCAATGAGCCTGGGGTTCCGTCCGGATCATAATGTGCAGAGACGCCTGTGAAAATTTCTCCCCATTGTCTATCAATAGATGGTGCTCTTGGCACACAACACCCAATTAATCCTTCAGTCCATGGCAATTTCGATGTCCATCGAAACGGCTGAAAAAGCGGAGAGCGCGCATCTCCGCGTCCAGCGCACCAGGCGCATCTTCCCGCCCGCGGCGCCATGCGCATCTCCGCGTCCAGCGCACCAGGCGCATCTTCCCGCCCGCGGCGCCATGCGCATCTTCGCGTCCAGCGCACCAGGCGCATCTTCCCGCCCGCTGCGCCATGCGCATCTTCGCGTCGTTCCGGTCGCCCGGCAGCGAATAGTTAGAAGCAACGCCATGTCCATTCGCGCCGTATTTCCTTCCGGTGGACTCATCTCACTCGTAACGATTGCACTCGGCCCTGGACAAACTTTCAACTTTCAACTGTCTTTCAGGTCCATTTCCGCGCAGCACGATTGCGAATTGGCCGCAGGCTAGAACCAATGGAATGATGCCTCGGTCGGATCATTCAGATCGCTGAAGACGACCGTTCCCGCCGTTCTGTTCCCGAGAGAGCTGGAACGTTTCGCTTCCCTTTCGTGAAACGAACTCGAGGCAACTTGAAAGGCTTCGAAGAGAACTTGAGACTTCCGTTTTTTTTTCTCTTCTGAATTTCGAAGCGCCGCGAACGCGAATTTCGAGGGGGGGAAAGGGGGACTTACGATTCGTCGGCGGGCCTCGGTGAGTTTCGTGGAATCCTCTCGCGCGAAAAGGTCCTCAGGTCTTCTTCCTCAGGGGGCAAGATACCAGGAGAAATAAATATTTTATATACAAATAAAATATACATGTTACGATTGGAAAAAAAAGTGGAGCACCCGCACGTCACCAGGCGAGAAAATGGGGGGGAAGTCCCGACGATTCATCGATGACATCCCGGATGCGATAGTCAGCTGCAATCTCCCCCCTTTGCCCCCCCCCCCCCCGTAAGGAGAAGAGCAATTTGCAGGTCGATATGGGCCTGGCCGCCTGCATGCATGGAGGAGTAATTGCTCTGCGGTCTCATTTTCCCATTCACAGCTCCGACATGAAGAAGAAAAAGGGGGGAATGATCACCTTGCTCTGCCTCCCTATTGCTTTTGTCGAGAGCGCTCACAATAGGAGGCGTGGAGAAAGGGAGGGGGAGCGGGAGCGTGGAGGTGGAGGAGGGAGGAGCGTGGAGGTGGAGGTGGAGGTGGAGGAGGGAGGAGCGGGAGCGTGGAGGTGGAGGTGGAGGTGGAGGAGGGAGGAGCGTGGAGGTGGAGGGGGAGGAGGTCAAAACGTGCCTTTTGGCCCCCCCCCCCCCCCCCCCATCCGAAACGGGAGCATTTTTTTGCTACTCTCTAGAGGACGATTTTCGGAATGGAAAAGCGGGAACGCGCCGGTAGAGGTGCATCCGTGTCGGGAAAAACGCAAAAGACGGCTCTCCTCCGCGAGTCGAACGCATCCGGTCCCACCGCTCACATCATGCATTGGTGCCAAAAGGAGGCCTATCACTGCAAGCTGTCGAATTCGGTGGGAGCTCTGCCTGGAACGTGGCCTCTCGGTCCTCGGCGGACCGCGTCGCCATCCGCCACGCAATGCGGATTCGGACGACCGAGCAGCTCTCTACTGCCCTTTGCATCAACGTTTTATGCTACTAGGGCGCGACTTCCTTCCGCGTCCATGAATCCAAGTTGTAAGGGGAAGTGTCTCTCGCGGCACGGAGCGTCTCTCTTTCGGCACGGAGCCCGGGAAAGGGGCCGACGTACGATGAAATAACCAAGCTGCAGTCCCGCCATCTGGCACTTACTGCGGCAAACGGCGTTACTCACATTGTGTTTATAAGTTGGCCGAGAAACATCAATTGAACATCAATTGAACATCAATTGAACATCAATTGAACATCAATTGAACATCAATTGCACATCAATCGCGACATCGACGAGTCGTCAATCCGAGAAACGCGCGCAAGCCAAATGACCCCCAGCCCCCATGCGAGACCGCGAACGGGAAGGGACGGAACTCCCCATTCCACTCACGGTGACATCACCCGTGACGTCACCCGTGACGTCATCCGAGAGCTCGGCCATTCAGCCGGCCTCTTACCAAAACGCAGAAACGCGTCGAGACGGGATGACCCCGCTCCCCGCCCGCAATGACTCAGTCATATGGCTTCCGTCCCTCAGAGAAGCAACGTGCGTGCTTTAAATTTGTCGTGAAACTTATTATGCATCATAACCATTTTTTAATTATCTCAGGTAAAAACAAAGGATGACCAGGTAATTGGATGGTAAAAACTAAAGTACAAAAAACCGGAATCTTCCAGTTTTTTTTGCTTGATTCACTGAATTCTACTGCGATATTTACCTGTCATTTACATGTAATTTATAGATAGTTGTAATTTATTTGTAATTTAGTTGATTTATTTGTGATTTAGTTGTGATTCAGATGTGATTTCGTTGTAATTTAGTTGTAATTTACCGGCACTTGCCTTTACCTTTCACTTGCACACAGTTTGTTACCTTTTACCGATGTCACGACTTACCGATGTCGCGATTTTCTCCTTGACCCGCCGGAAAGTCGCATCATGAAATCGTTGCAACCATTTATTTATCATAATACAATGTAAAGAATTGATTCAGTGCGACTCAAGGGGTAAATTGGCATTGGTGCTAAATAATTCCTTTATTTTGGGGGGGGGGGTTGCCAAAAGTCACGTTTTGAGGTTTGAGGGTTTAAGTAATTAGTTACCAGTAGAATTAATTCTCACCGAAAGTAACTAGTAGAAGTTACTTTTTTTTAAATTTACTTTTCCTGAACAAAAATTCCGATCTTTCCACAGCTTCTCCACTTCTTCGACAGAAGCTGGGTGCACGGACTGAAAGCGAAAGTTTCCCCTGATTTCGCGAAAATTGAATCATAATCAACTTAACGGGATGAATACTCATGCTCACTCTTTCGCTTTTCCACTGCAATGATATTTTTCACGGCGCAATCCAGGAGATGAGGGTGTTTCAACCATGAAAAATGGGGAATTGGGACAGGCGTTCGTCTTAAAAGCGGCACATATTCACTTGCAAATCACTATTGGGTTAGGCTCTCCACTTCGAAGAGCAAGTGCCTGAGAATTAACGGAGTCTAACGGATGGATCGTTGGGAGAGCGATGGAACTCTGTATTCGTTTCTGACCTGCACATCGAAATGCGTGTTGCAGGTACAGGCCAAGAAACTTGCACAGAATAAAGCACGTTTTCTCGAGGCAATTTCACGTCCCCGTCTTTCCTCCCAATATTGCATCAAATATGATGAAGTTGTTTTCAGCTAATTTAGGAAATTAGGAATTTAGCTAATTAATCAAGGAATGCGTTACAGTAACGTCACATACTTTTCCCATGAAAAGTAACTCGTTGCCTCAAAAGTTATTGAAAAAACAGTTACTGTAACGCGTTACTTTTACTTCGTTACCGAAAATTTGCCGAGCAGTGAACTCGCACTGGCGGCGATTCCCTTGCCATCTCTCGTCTCTTGTGGAGACATTGTTTGTCCGAGTAATCGTCAGATGGCGGCTCATTCGTTTTTTCGCTGTGAATCTTGACCTCGCTTGCCAAAAGGATGGAGCCCGTGCCATTTTCATTTTTAATGAGCGAATTTAACGCGACGAAAATGAGGTTTTTCCCGAAAATGAATGGGAACGGTCGGCCTACGTCGAGACGAGTTCTTGCCCGGTGGAACCTCGGATGCGGAGGTGGGAAAAACGTGGGACTTGCCTTGGCCCGCTGGCCTAAGCAGGGGCGGGCGTCGGACGAAGGGCAGTTTTCAGGCTCGCGTCACGGCGGTTTTCGGGCAGCAAGAGAAAGAAGGAGCAAAGAGGATTTGATGAAGAGGTGAAGTGCCTTCAGGGAAGAAAAAATGAGAAAATACGAGCAGAGAATAACAAAATACGAAATAAAGAGGAAGACAGAGGTATATACGTGACTGGAGCGTCAGTCGAGGCGAACGTGAGGTCAACTCGAGTGCAAATGACTCATCGACGCGCCGCACGTGCATACTGCAGGTGGCGCTCGTGCATCGGCCAAGCGTGACTCGTGGGGGAGGTTTGGAAGGCCATGTGCTCGCTGTAGCGTGGGGAGCACGTGCCTACGTTGGCCTGTTGGCCGGAAATTTGGGTTTCGAGGTGGAGGCGACGTCCGTCCGGAAGTTACGAGAGCTTTTGGGTGGATGTGGCCGTCGTTGGTTGGATGCCGTGTCAGCGTGAAGTGCGTGGATCTTAGAGAGAGATTTCACTCGTTGGGAAAGGAAGTTGCGAATCAGGCGTCGATATCACGTTATCTAGGCTTTGTGCTGGCGCTGAGTGGTGCTGCATTCAGTTTTCCTGTCTGTTTCGGCCTTTTCTGAAGGCAATAGGCCTAAATTGGGGCGAAAGTCTACAATGTGGACGGGCCTCACGAGTTCGCCTAGGCCTAGCGTGACCGTAAAGCCTCGAACTCGTGCTGTAACCCGTCCATGTAATTCACGTTGCTGACAGACGTCCTCGTGTGTTAAATAAGGTTCGAGGAGCATGGAATGCAATGAGCCTCGGTATCCAAGCCTCACACTAGGGTCCAATAAGATACCAATGAACGTTCAAAGTGGATCCTTTGGAAGCAATGCCTCTTTCTTCCCTTGGTGGTACAGGTTCGATCCAAACACACTGTGAGGATTTTGTTACCCGCATTCACAAACAAAATAATCCACGCTTCTCTCGACTTCCATCTTTGCAAAGATAAAGTCCGAAGCGCTTTCTCGGATCTCTTTTGCACCCGTGCGCATCGATTGAACGGGAAGTAGAAACACTCAGGATAAAATTTCAGTGCTGCCTACCTGGGACAGATGAATCATGCATGTTCTAACCGGTGGAATGAGATTCCGTGAGCACTAAAAAAGTTAGCTAAAAATGTCCATGGTGAAGGCATGAGTAACTCATCCTCCATACACTTATGTTAAATGACTTGAAAAAAACTTCAAGCTGGTGATTCGGGTGAAGGAACATCTGCAGTTTTTTCCCCTAAACCAACATCTCGTAAATTAAATGCAACACGTATTTTGCATTGCTGTATGTTGGTGCTGTGAGCAGAGGTCTGGTCCCTCCATCAAGATGATGAAAAAGGCAGGCATCACATTAGGCCTTGTGACCATTTTCTTCTCAAATCAGAAAATGATACTAGAAAAAAAAAATTTAATTGTTACTGTAAGACTGTCATAGAGATGCTTCTGGTACATCTGATTAGCTCTGCGGAATGCTCTTGTCTTTCTGAATTAACACCAGGTTATAGGCCTGTCCCGCAGGCAGAAAGGAGATGAAGAAGCCGACATGGAAGGGCCAAGAGAGACGCCAGATGCGAAATCCCCCCAGCAGGAGCTGCAGGTCCGGCGACCGCAACGCGGGGCAGACGGGTTGCACCTGAATCTTCCAGAGGTTTCAGGTGCGTGACCTTCAACGCTCGATCTCGACTGCGTGTTGCACGTAGCGGAGCCGAGTGAATGCATGCTGTCGTTTGCAATTCGCAATTGCCACCTTCGCAATTGTCTCCTTTGTGTCAATATTTCAAGAGAAATTTTCATATTCATTTTAATATTCTTGCTTCCTTGCATGCTCTTTTATGTTACCATACTTTGTTATGTTATGTTACAATGAGAAAAAGGTAGTACCAGCACGTGCAAATCTCAGGATGGCCATGAAAGCATAGACTCAAGCTTATCGCTTTGATGTGGTTGCCAAGTAGTACAGTTTCTCTGATGATCAAATTCTCTTTCCTTCATAGCATGTTGCCTGCTAGTACTTCTCAGAGCTTCCTTTAAGTAATATGCTCAATATAAACATAATTCATCCCGCACAAAATTATGCCCAGGAATATAGTTCAGTGGTTGATAAGTAACCATCTAAAACTTTTTCGTGGGGGCAACTCAAGTCAGCATTTCCCCCTTGTAGACCTGAAGAATTCTTTTGAAAATGAGAACTATGTTTCATTGATATCAGTATCTCTACTTCTGCAAATTTTCTGGCTGCATTTAACTCAACTTGTCTCACTGTCAGGTGCACTAATTACCCAGTTTCACCAGTTATTCACTTTGAGGTAACAGACCTTAGAGTGACAACTTTCCTCATTGCCAAATAGCCATTGTGTAGGTTTGGGGGCTTTTTTGATTTCTGGAAGCTTTGAGACTTTGTTGAAAATACATTAACAACAAAGTGCATGGGACTTGCTGTGAGATGTTGTCAAATACAGAAGAGTCAAGCCATTGACATATTAGTTATCCAATTTAAGTCAAAAACTCTGCAAAAGTATAACCTCATAGTTCACTAGTAAGTTTCTAATTAGTAGTTAGTTACCTAAAATGATGTGGGGAGATTGTTTATTTGTACCTGGAGAATGGGGTGCTTTTTAATTCTTATTTACGGAGGTGTCAGTCATGAGTATAACACCAAATGGTGGTTTAACTTGTTACTGAAAAATTATAGTTTCATTTGGATTTTCAGGTGAAGCCAGAATTTTCATTTTTGAACAATCTTGAATGTCAGCTTCAAATATCAGATCAACTCCATTTGTACCTTCTCAAAGTGCACATGCGACTGGAAGGAAAGGTTCTGCCATTGACAATTTTTACTCTATGCTCACCTTCAGATGCACATCACCATTGATTTGGTGTGGCATCCATTAGTGCATTTGTGATTCCAGCTGTCTCACCCCGAGTGACTTGAGGGAGCTTGGCGGAAGTGAGCACAATCCCGATGGTGGCGGAACTCACTCGCTTGGCGGGCTGTATGCTTTGGTCATCGTCCTTTGGTCCTTTGCTTTTCGGATTGCTGCATCAGCTTCATTTCTTCCTTTCACCTGTGTCATCATATCATGCTTCACTTCTGTGAATGCTGTGATCTCACCACCTTCTTGATATATTTCAAAGAGGTCAGGCAAAGAATATATGTTCCTATTTAGTTGTGTTCAACATGTAATCTGTAATATTCAGAGAAAAATCAATTACTTTTATTGTTTTCATGAAAGAAGACTGCAAGACATGGAATTCTATCCTTTACACAGAAAAAAATCCTCACTATTTCAATGGTTGGTAATCAGTTTCCAGATCTATTAAATATATTGGTACAGGGTCCTTCCCTGGATACTAGGAATTTGAGTTTAAGTGAATTTATTTTTAAAAATGGGGTAGCAGTTATAGCAGTATTTATTTCTGACATTTTTGTTAAGAGTGTGTTCAAGTAAAGAATGTTTTGGCTCCTTTTGCAGCTGAATTGCTGTACACTACATTCCTCTGGACTGGGGAAAAGATAGAAGATTTATCAAATGTAGATGGTATTGACCAGGAAACACAAATACTTCTGAAGAAACATGGACTTGGGCCAAAAGAGGGAGCTCGAGAATACTTGCCATCGGTGTCGATCTCTTTGTCGAAAGTCACCCTTAAGAATGGCTTCAGCCGCTGGATCCCATTCCTGTGTGGCTTTCTTGGTCATACCAGCCACACAGAAGTCCAGCTGATGCGGTGGATTAATGAGCTCAAGATTGCTCCCAGTGACATAAGGGAAGTTTGCATGTATAGCAACTATTCCCCCTGTGTGAACTGCTGCACGATGCTCATGGATCCTCACTTCCCTGTCTCATTTGACACAATGTCCATCTTTTATCGCCAAATTCATTGCTCATCAGGAACGCCTGGAATGCAGGAAGAGGAACATCAGGAAGTGATCGAAAACACAAAGAGGAAACTTGGGAGTTTCATGCAGAAAGGGATGGAATGCCGACCTCTCGACAAAAAAGCGGCAGAACACTTGAGATGGGAGTTTCTTCCATGTCTCACAGAGGTGATGGAGGAGGGAAGGAAAGCCATGTTGCTGTACAACGTCTTCCTTTGGACTGGAGAAGTGACCTCCGTCATGAACGAGACGGGAGGCCTGACGGAGTTCTTGGCCCAGTACAAGCTTCAGCCCGGCAGCACCGACGACTATTGGCCGCAGGTGGCTGTCTCTTTGGCGACGGTGAGAACGATCCACAGATGTGGGAATGAGCTGTCGATTCTTCGGCGTTCCAAGGCATTCTACTGTGGGATTTTTGACTGCAGAGGAAATCTGTACCACACCGAACTGCAGTTGATCAAATGGATGAAAGACTTGGATATTTCACCATGTGACTTAGAGGAAATCGAGCTGTATACCAACTATTCCCCTTGTTTGCAATGTCACGAGGATCTGGCTAAGCTCTGTGATCCCGAATCGCGTATCCCTGTCGATAAAATGTCAATTTTTTATCGAAAAATTTATAAGGATTATAAAACACAGTGCAAACTTGAGAAATTGCAGAAGAAGATGAAAGAGTGCAAGAAGCTTGAAAAGGCAAATGCAGAAGAAATGAGGAATTCCTTATTGGAGTGCTTGCAGAATGCACTGAAATCACGATACGAAGAGGACGAAATGGAGAGCACCGCCGAGTGGCTGGAAGGCTTGGAGGTGGACGACGCGGCAGCCGATCGGTCGTTGCGTCCGAACGAGCAAAATCGGTAGTTGTTTCGTGTCACTGTGATAGGGTCACGTGTGACCTTCGGTGTGCTTAAGGTCATGTGTGTGACTTCATCCTCTTTCCCATTCACTTGCACGCAGTAGAAAAAACTTTCTCAACAGGGTCTCGACATTCTTGTAGCTAGATTTCCTTAAGCGTTTAATTCATGAAAGTATTCAATAATTTAATTGATCCACTGACCCCATGACCATCCTGACGCAGTGCAGACCAAGTATCTGATGCCAATCCAAAGTGAGGCCAGCATTCTCTTTTCACTGCTAATTGGTTTGCTACAGTGGCATAGGGAAGGGGGGGGGGGGTTTAGGTGGTCAGAACCCCCCCCCCCCCCCCCCCCCCCCCCCCCCCCCCCCTGGGGGTGGGGGGGGGGGGGGGGGGGTTTAGGTGGTCAGACCCCCCCCCCCCCCCTCCCCCCTTGGGCTTCCTGGTCAGTGACAGACAGGCACATTTCAGCCTTCCTTGGGAATTCCAGTTTTAGCTATCCCCCTTCTGAGGAAAGTCCAATGTACATCCTCAGACCCAAGATGCCAGACCACGATTTCTTCAAGAAGGTAAATTCCGGGTGGTGGAGCTATGCATAGGGTTGTGGCGTCTACTCTCAACCCCCCCCCCCCACCTGGTCGATTTTCTGCCTGCGCCACTGGTTTGCTGCCGTTCTATGAATGCTTGCTCGCTGTCTCCCATGGCCATGATCATGTCACCTTTGAAACTAGAGTTGCTCCAGCATCAACTCCACTCCAGTGATATCTTTCATATTTTTTTTAAAATAATATAATTGTGATTCTTGAACCGCTGCCACTTCTTTTTATTCCTTTTGTTGACAACAGAGTTCCCCTCTCATTTTTCCAAAATCAACATTTCACCTGCACCTGCACACCTGCACATCAGTATTAATGGCCAGCTGCCTGAGTACCGAATCCAGGATATCCCAGTACGAGCTTCGTTCCAGGTGGCATGCAGGTGGTTCATCCTCACTGCAGGCCATTCACACGCCCGAGGTAACGCGTAGAAATTAGAACCCAATGAACCAATTCCACCACCACACCAAACCGCCAGGTTCATTAGGGCGATCCCGCCCTAATGAACCTGGCGAGTGGTACAGGACTGGTTCTTCTCGGTCGAATTAAGCCCAACCAAGGGCACATCGTCAGAAGAAATCGGAATTGCGCAATCATTATAACCCCAAAGAATGGCTGGCAAACCGCTAAGGGCCCATACGTGGAGCGCAAAAACTTGGAGAAAAATTAGCGTTATACCATTTTCAAGTCAAATTTTTGTTTCAAAATATACTTCTTGCCCAGTTTTGAACTGGAAGCCATCCATGATAATCCTGTCTCACCAGAGCCGATCGAAAAGTAAGTCGCCTCCGTACCGGCCGAAACCCGCGGCGACAGAGGTGACATCTCGCGGAGGAAAATGCATTGAGGGAAGAAGTTTCACTTTTGTATTTTCTGATGGAAGTCAATGAATTTACGCTGGTCGAAATTATTCTGATTTTTTTTTTCATGCCGCACAAATTTTCGTTGGCGTTGGAAAAAAAAGTTTGAAGCGGACGAAGCCTAAAGATCCGATTAAAGAAAAAAAAAAGACAAACAAAAAAAAATGCATGAGGAAGAATGACGGCCTGCCACGACGACACACGAGAAGTCTGGAGAATTCCAGTTTTCGAATTAACGAATCCCGAGAGACAGGGTTGCCCTCCTTTCTCGATCCGTTCGATTCCGGTTTTTTTTTTTTTTTTTTCCCCCTCGAGAAACGTGTCGGGTCGGTTGAGAAGAGTCGCAATCGCAAAGTGAAAATTTTTTCTACTATGTCGCGATCTTCGGGAGAAGCGATCAGTCCGACACGATCAATATAGTTTTTCTCTTGGATTTCCTGGAAGGAAACGCGCTCGTTCGGGACTCTCGACGCGGCTTTAGGAGGCGTCGAAAATGTCTCACCGATTTGCTCGAATTCTACGCGACTGGGCGACGGAAGAGAGGGAAAAAGGGAATCCCGTGGACATCGTCTATTTAGACTTCGCAAGAGGTTGCGGGCTAAACTGGAGGCTCACCGGATCCAGGGTAGGACGAGCGAGTGGATCGGCAGCTGGTTGGCAGGACGAGAGCAACGGGTGATGATAAAGGGGGTAATTAAGGAACGCTCGACCTCGACACGTGATATCGAAATGGGCGAATTCGCCACTTGATATCACTAACTATCCTGAAATCCTCTGTTTCTTTTCATATTTTTATATTTTAGTTATGTTTATGATAAACGTAATCATTCATTAGAACATAAATTTATTGGGATTTCTGAATCTAAATAATTTTATTTTTGTTTTCCCTGGAGAGGGGGAGTGCATCAATCTGACACATCCTGTATACATAGCTATATTTTATCTGCTTACTTCATATCTATAAATATCCGGATTGCCGAATTAATGAAGTGGTACCACTCGCCGCCTGAGCACCTCGCGCCTCCCAAAATTAAAAATGTGAGCGAAATTCACCTTGTTAAATATCGCCTGGATTCACTCGCCAACAACGGCAGCAATTCGCCATCGCGTCGCCATTCATCGCCATGGATTCCTCGGCAGCCGCCGAGGTCAAAATCCGGCAACCCTGCTCGTCCGCCACTGGCAGAAGGGATGGCGGTGCCCAGCGGTGAGCTGTCCTTCCCCGTCTGGGGGTTGTTGCCCAAGAAGGAAACAGGTGTCACGGGCTTTCTGGAGAAGTTCCCGACTTACGACGGGCGGGGGACCATCATAGCGATATTCGATTCGGGGGTTGACCCTGGCGCTCCTGGCTTGCAGGTGAGAGGGCCTCATCCCGAGATTTGGCATTTATGTTTGTACTGGTAATTCAGGGAAACTTGGATCAGTGGACCCAAATGGACCTCAGGTAGGAGCATGTGGTGTAGGCCTAGCATAGGCTCCTGGCCAAGTCATGAACTTCTCGGTCTTGACCTGGGTTGTTATCAAAGAATGCAGACCTAAGTCCCAGATCTGTATTTTTTCAAGGCTTGTCACAGTTCCTTTTTAGGCGTAACTTATGCCTATGTCTGATTGGTATGGTACTTTCTATCCCTGCAAGAGGGACCATAAAGGTTTATTTTTTACTATTGATGGTATTCTGCATGTGTGAAGTTGGGAAATTTCCAATGCAGGAAGTGACATGGCACCTTTAATTAAGGAGATACCTTTTCGCTTTTTCCTAATAGTAGTTCATGGAAATGATAACATGAGCTGTCTTGTCAGATATGTCGTTACAGCTCCAAACCTAGGGCTAGTGTAATGAGAATGAAGAAAGCAATTGCATCCCATAACGACTCTGGATGTGAAGCATCTTCTCCTCGTATCGGTCATTCGGGCATTGTTTGCCTTGCGCACACCCCCCTCACCCCCACCCAGAGTACGTCTTGCGCCCACCCATGTACACTGCACATCCTTGTCCTCTCCTACGTTAGAGTGCGTCTCGCGCCCGGCTGACCTCCCACGCCCTGGTGTGGCATTGATGTCAAATCATGAAAACCAACCTCCACATCTGGAATGCATTTTAATGTATTTAAGCCATCTCCCACTGAAGGAAGAATGCATAGTTTATAGTTTATAACACTGCTGGCAAAATGTGAATGCATGGAACGGCATAAATTGCATGAAACAATGAACGAGCCGTGAGCATGTCAAGATGTCGAAAACGCAAGTAAATTGGCTCGAATGACTGCTTGAGAACAGTGGCTCGGGTCGGGTCAGGTCGGGACGGTAAAGCCGTGCCCGTGCAGCATTTTACACTGGTGGTGAAGTTGGCTCCAACGGTCCCCCACTTTATGCAACAACATCCTTTGGTAACCCTCTTGCATAGGGGCATGTTGCCTTAGTGTGTGCGAGACGTGCTGTGCGAGTGCACACCGTGTGCATGGTGCTCTGGTGGTGTGTGAAAGACGTACAATACCTGGTCACTCTTTAAAGAAATTCATGAAGTCAGATTCAGAAGCCTGGGTACGATATGCAGATTGAGGGTGTTAGGAGCATGGAATGGATATTTCAATGTAATTTAGAAAAATGATGTAGGAATGAGGCCCATAATGGAGAATAGTGAAAGTGAAATGTGAGTCTCAGACACAGAAAGATACTTTGAGTCATGGTAATGATGTCCTGAGATGCAGTTATTTCTGATTAAAATAAACTAGGCATGTAGGAACTATGTGTGTACCCTGACCTATTATACAATATTACAATACAGCATCTCCCATTGTTGGCATTTTCCAGGTGACTAGTGATGGGAAGCCAAAGGTCATAGATCGCATCGACTGCAGCGGTGCCGGGGATGTCGACACGCACACGATCGTGAAAGTAGATGCAGACGGATGCATAACAGGATTGTCTGGAAGGAAGCTCAAGGTAAGAGCAGTTTGCATGGATGCTATTTTTTATTTTTGCTATTCCTCTTTCAGCTTGTGAAACCTTGAGTAATAAAGGGCTAAACCCCAAACTGCTCATTAGCTTTGGAAGTTATTTTTTTGTCTTTTTGACCTGATTGTCATTTTACCATGTTTTGCTCATTTTGTATAAAAAATTCTTTATTATTTTAAGGGATGAGACATGGACAGTGGAAGTAGCATGCAGCAATTTTGCAGCATTTATCTTTTGTGATGGCATTTAAGGAAGATTTCTAAAGTGGTGTAGCAGTGTTACACAAGATGTAGCAAATTCATTCTACACTTTGTGCAGAATGAGTTTGTATTCATGATTTTGTTCAATTCTGTGTTTGTAATTAACCGATCTCCATTTAACTCTTTTTATTTCCATATGGTCTCTCCTTTAGGAAATGTAGGTTTCATGTCGGTAAATTATGCCTTGGAATGCTGGAGAAGTTTGGAGCTGATTGCTACAGATAACTGTAGGTGTAATCTCTTGCACAGACTGTTTAACAAGGCAATGAAGGTGCCTTGTGCATTCTTCAGGAGAAGGCAGTTACTAAGTGCTCCATCTTCCATGAAATGGCCTATGGGCTGTACAAAGATGATATGCCATCTTCATGGAAGTTAAAGCCAAATGAAGGACCAGTGCACGAAGTGCCATCACCAAGATTGGGTTAAGAGCCTTCTTCAAGAGAAGAGTTGAGGTCTAGGGAGTATTGTGCCCATTCAGTCTAAGGAAGAATTTTGCCCCAGGCATTTCTTAGTCCTGTCAGCATTAGATACCTTTGAGTGCATCTAATAAAAGAGTCATCATGCCAAATGTAATGAATCACTTATGTCCTCTAAAATACTGCCCAGTATATATTGCTTTTGGTTTTATCCTATTTATTTGGAAGAATTGATAAGGCTCCCTGTTGATGGACTGGAAATATTGGAATACATGGCAACTGGCTGTTCCAGTGTTTTCTTGTTGGGAATGCTAGTTGGCAGCAGATGACAAAGGTAGGATGCATGCTTCGTTTTTCTTCCAGATTCCTAAAGAATGGAAGAATCCGAGTGGAGAATACCACATTGGTCTCAAAAATGCCGAAGATCTGTACCCTCGATCAAGCAAGGTGAAGGATAGAATCTTGAAGAAGAAGAAAGTGAAACTCTGGGATCCATTGCACAAGAGCCTAGTTGCAGATGTCCTCAAAGATATCCAGGTATGTATTCAATTAAGTGGCAGAGGTATGTCAATCAAGTGGAAGTACAAAAATCACATGCCAATAGCCTTTGGTCTGGAGTCTTTGCTAGATGTGAACCATTGCACGAGAGCCCATGCCTTTGCATAGCCTCTGCTTTTCATCCCCTCTAGATTTTCTTCCCTTCCATGTGCATCTCTTATGCCACCCCTCTCCATGTCCATGTAAAATGTCCATATACAGGGTGCACGAGTAGAATTGGCATGGAAAATGCATTAAGGAAAAACATCTCTAAAATTTCTAATTTTAAACATTTATTGAAAATTCCAGAAACAAGAGCAAGGTAGTGCTTTATAGATGGAACTTATTCAATAAAGCCACCTTCAGCATCAATCACAGCCTCCAGACGACCTCGGAAGCGAGAACAGGCGCGTTTTACAATCTCAGGAGACAAAT